GGGAGGAAGACATGCACTGGGACCTCAAGATATGCCCTAGTGATGTGGTACCCAAAGTTCCTCAAGCCTGGCAACTTGAAGATATGTGGACTTCAACTCCCAATTTTAACGCATTTCTTTTGACGTGTATCCTCATTGTGGCTGGGTTACTCTCTTATAATCCCTTTCTCTCCGATCTCTCCCACTCCGGTGGATGGGAGGAAAAAAAAATGAGCCTGCTGGCTGGCTGGCTGGGAAATTCTGGGAGTTGAAGCCCACACATCTTCAAGCTGGAGGAACACCGGTTGTTAAGTGTCCCAAAAAAGGAGAGATTTGGTTGAGGTGGGATGCAAAGAATGAAAACAGAAAGCCTGTGTTACATTTTACAGGAAAAGTCCTGTATCTGGCTCAAATCTGGGAACAAACTGTGGGAGGTTATAGGACCCCCGAGTTCTTACTCGCATGACGTTATCGACCGTGAAGCCGGAGTTCTCGGTGCCCAGGTGTTTCAGCAAGCGTTCCACCAGCTCCACCTGGCTCATGGCGAGGTGTGTGGGGCAGTGGGGCCTCAGGGGCTGCACCAGGTGGGTAGGGATGATCTGCAGAGGCTTCACTTCGTTGCAAAGGGCCATCTCCTGCAAAGAGGCAGGGCACCTTACTGATTTATTCAGAAAATCCAAATACAAAATCCAAAAGGAAAAAAAAAAAACGTTAACAGAGAAAAAACTAGGCAAGGACGTAAAAAATAAAATAAAATGGAAATGTCAGTAAAAGACGAGTCTCTGGCCACATTAGGGATGGAATGGCAGCCAACCGGCTGCAGAGTCGCCATCCCGCAGAGTTTCCCTGCAGGTAGACTCACCTGGATGAAGTTGGCGGAGGCCGTCCGAAGGCGGGCCGAGGAGTCCCCCGTGCGGGACAGGAGGTTGGGGAAGGCCCTCTCCAGGCAGAAAACGGTCTCCTGCTTGCCCAGTTTGTGCTTGGGGATGTACTGCGTGATGCTCATTTTCAGGAGCTTTAAGGAGGCGTGGAAAACCTGCCGCGTTTGAAGAGAGGGGGACAAGAGAGCAGCAACACAGAACCCTCCAGGTGAGCCGTTTTCAGTTTTGAAGGAACCTCAACCAGCTGCTTTTCTTCCTCGCGTCGGCTGGAAGCGGGACGCAGGAGACCAGAGGGCGGGGCAGAGCTTTGGGGAACCGGGGGGGAGGGTGGGATAAAGAGCCCCTATCCAGGTGACCCCAACCCTCTCGGCCGCCCAGTTTTTGCCTTCCCTCACCGAAGAGACGATATCTTTGATGGCCCTCACGGCGAGGAAGACAGCCCCCCGGAGCATGTTCTTCAGCTCCTCCTTGGGGGTGCTGGTGGGAGCCTCGGTCATCTTCTTGTAGATGGCCAGCAACGAGTCCTCGCGATACGACCAGGTTTTGGAGTAGGCGCCGGCCACCTGGGCAAAGCAAGGCGGGAAGGAAGGAGAGGGGCCTGGCGGGAGACCGATAGCTGCCCTTCCGCCGGCCGAGGATGGCTCCTTCCCTCGCTTCTATAGGGAGTCCTCCACTTACGGCCATTCAGAGTTACAACGGCCCAGGAGAAGCGAGTTAGGGCCGCGTTTCGCACTTACAAACCCTGCAGCGTCCCCCGGGGTCACGCAATCAAAATCCAGACCCTTGGCAACTGGTTCATATTTATGACGGTCGCATAAAGGGGGTCGCGTGATCCCCTTTTCGACATTTCCGACCGACAAAATCAACGGGGAGGCCAGATTCACTTCACAGCCTGTGGGTGTGGCTCCCTGACTGGGCCCTGGGGGTGCTCTGGGTCACCCCCTCCCGTCCCCCCTCCCGTCCCAAAGTCCAAGAGCTCCGGACGCCCCTCCCCCTGACCCTCGACCTCCTCCCTCTTTACCAGCATTTCCCCGAAGACGTCGATGGAGGCGCTGGCCTCCCGCAGGGCCTTCTCGGTCAGAGGCTCCGGATCGCCCACCGCCCCGCTCCTGGCCGTGTCCCCGGCCTCTTCCTCGGTCATCTCGGGCTCTAGCAAGGGAAAGCTCTCCTCCTGCTGTCGGCGGATGGCCGGGAGGGGCCGCTCGTCGTAAGGTAAGAACTCGACCTGGGAGAGAAGGGCCCAGCGGTCAAAGCTGGCGGCCGTAGAGCGTCCCTCCTCAGTTGGAGGCCCTCCGGGGTGCAGCTCCCAGAATCCCCCCCAACGGCACTCTCGAAGGAGTCGGGCAGGCGTGGCAACCAACGTGGGAAGGGGCCACGTTTGCACAGAGCGAGAACGGGAGGGGTGGCGGGGTTGTGTCTCTAGGGCTGGAGATGTGAAGGTCAGGAGAATTCTGTGGGAAAAGGTCTCCCGCTGGAGAATTTGGTATTTGAGGAGAGGAGGAAGGAAAGAGATGAAGAAGGAAGGGTAAAAAGGAAAGAAGGAAGAAGAGTGAAAGATAAAAGGAAAAGAAGGAAGAGAGAAAAGGAAAGGAAAGAGGAGGGAAGGAAGGGGCGTGGCTAAGGAAAGGGGGCGGGAGAAGCAGGACCGAGAGCCGACCCAAACTTACGCTGATCTTCGGGAAGGCCTCTGCAGCGTTGGGAGCCGCCCATGCCAGCGGGGGAGAGAAGGCCTGAGAAGGGGCCGGCTCAGGCGAGGGGACTTCGGGGGGCTTCTCGGGGGGCAAGGAGGCGGGGCTCTCTGGCTCGGCTTTCTCCCGCCAGGGGGACGGCAGGGGCTTCTTCTGCTGGAGGGTCGTGGTGGGCTGAGCCACAGGCTCTAGTGGCAGGTCAGGTAGCCGTCGGATCTGAGTGTATGAGAGAAATCCGTTCGTTCGTTTGAGAACGGAAAGATTGCAGAGAAGGGGATTAGAAGAGAGTAAGCAAGCCACAATGGGGATACACATCAAAAGGAATGCATTAGAGTTGGGAGTTGAAGTCCACACATCTTCACGTTGCCAAGGTTGAGAAACTCTGATCTAAAATAACTATGGGCCTACAATATCCTACAACTCCCCAACCTCTGACCTAGTCTTGGGAGAGAAGAACAGTTTTTAATGGGGGTGGGTTTTTTTAAGCGGGTGGGGGGTTCCCAAGGGTCAGCTTCCCAGAGGCGCTTAGGGATTCCTTCCTGGGGATATTCCACTTACCGCGAGATCTGGGTCCAAGAGGTTATGAAGCTCCAACTGCTGGTAGACCTTGACACGATAGTCTTCCATCTGCTGCTTCTTCTGCTTGGCCAAGTCGTAGTCCTCCCTCTTGACGGCACACCGTTTCTCCACCTCGTAGCGTCCCAGCCGCTCCCCGACCTGCAACACGAGCCCGGAGTGGTTCAATTGGTCATAGCAGAGAAAACTTCTAAAGCACGGAGCAAGTGATGTCCAACGGAGAAAATGAATAATTAAATGAGTGGATTGGGCATCGCTGCCACAGCCATTCATCCAATGTACACGCAAAGACAGGTAAAACTAGACCAATCTTGGTTTAAGGAACCTGGTTACCCCAGTCCAACAAGCAGAACCTTTGATATTCAACAGGGAACAATCCTTCACAAATTGTGCATGTCCAAGAGAACGAGAAAGGAAGGACCTCAAGGCAGCTGAGTCCCTTTCCACCTCTCCCTGTGGGACCCCTTCCCCACCCTCCTTCAGCTCCTGCTACCTTCTGCAGATCTGCGATGGCTTGTTTGAGCTTCTTGGCGTGATCGTAGTGTTCCTGGCGCACCGCTTCATGCTTCTTCTCGTCCAGCTTGCGAATGATCTGGGCCACTTCCGGATCCTGGTACATGTCAAAGGCCAGATCATCCAGTGGAGAAATGGCGTCGGCCTTCCTGGAATGAAGGGGAGAATGGCAGTTTGGGACGTTGCCATGAGCACGGCCGTTGGGAGGGAGGAAGGGAAGGAAAATGGCCACGGAGAGGCGTCCAAGTTAGGCCGTCCTCACCCAGGGTAGCTCCCGTCCAAGGCCGAGTCATCCGAATTGCTCCCGAGATAATGGTCGATCAGCTTCTCCCTGGAAGACTTGGAAACAAAACAACAACGAATAGAATTTTTGGCTGGAATGGGCACAACGTGGGTGAATGACACCAACACTTAAATATACAACAACAACAAAAATAGAGCTGGAAGGGACCTTGGAGGTCTTCTAGTCCAACCCCCCCCCTCCAAATTTCCCACACTAACCTGGCTGTTCTCAGGGCTCAGATCTGCAGGTTCCCCAATGATATTTATTGCCACCAGGGCAACCTGGAAAAACAAGACAGACCCAGTTGGGAGGGTCTGCTGGGATTCTGGAAAAAAACACCCCCCTCCAGTTTACCAAAAGCGTCAGAGATTAAATTTACAGCCAATTTTTTTTTTTTTGAGAAAAAAATCTTCCTCAGGATCCAGAAGGTGAGGGACGGCTTTTTTTAAAGCACAGATAGGGAAGTTATTCTAAGCTGCTCCCATTAACCATCTTGGGTTTGAATTTGTTTTACCTGGCTGTACAGATTGTACCGATTGGCGTAGCTTTTGTGGAAAGTCAACTTTAAATATTGTCCGACTGCATCCACGTAGACGGATTTCAACTCCCGGGCCCGGTAGCTGGTCTTTTCATTATCGGAAAGGGAGACATAACTGTAGAAGGGGGGGGGGGGAGAAAGAGGTTTAATGCAGATTATATTCTACAAGTATTGTGAACCCTTTGGCTCTGCTGGATTATCACCTGCCTTCAAAAGCTCAATATTTTTCTCTTCTAAGAAAAAAGATGCCTGGAGTGAATTAGTCAGCTGCCAATACAGAAGGTTTGTGTGGGCGTGTTGGATGAACCTCTGTCTTTTTCACAGACACCCTAAATTTAAAATTATTAGCTTGAAATCCTAAGTTATCCACAAATTCTCTCTCAAGTTCCAGAGGAAAGGAGACCAAACAGAGGGTTAATCAGCCTGTCAAACATGTCTCTGCAGCTGCTTATTTGGAATTACACCTTGCTTTTATAGTTAGTTTGATCTGGAATCAGCGACGGAGCTGGGCAGCTCCCAGGTGCCCACTGACCTCCTGCTTCTGCTGGGTGATCCCTGAGGGACATAGGCAGGAATACCGACACATCTCAAGAGAAGTAAAAGCTCACCCCAGCCTTTGGAATCGTTCCGATTTATAGGGCGCAAAATAATCGGGCAGGTTTTCGCTGATGTAGAACTCAATTTTGCTGGAGATCATATACTGGTGAGCCAGGAGCTGCAGCTTTCGAATTCGGCACCGTTCCACCATCTGGAGGACTATTTCTTGGGGATACTGGCAGAGTCTGAAAATAAAGAAAAAGGGAGGCCTTTGATTTCCCATGCCAGGGTTGAAATGGAGGGAATATTATATTACACTCGATGACCAGGGGAAGGAAGGAAGGAAGGAAGGAAAATATCTAGAATTTCTCGGAGCCTGACCTTGATGACCTCCATCCGTTGACCGTTGGCGCGTGAACCATCAGTTCCTTGGCACTGAAGCCATCCTCATGTCCGGATGAACTTATAACAATGAACCCAATCTTGTGTGGCATCCTGTCCTCTTCGGCTAACTGGGAAGAAAGGAGAGCCAAGTTTTTGTAAAAGAACGGATTTCTCATCAGCAAAGAATACAGCGTTTTAACTTCATGCTCCGAACGCAAGCAACTCTGAAAGTTAGTCAAAGGCATTTACTGTCTTTTATTTACTGATTTTATTTAATTGATTTATACAACTGCTCAACTCAACAAGCGGCTGTGGGAAACCGTGTTAAAAATAAAAACAAAAACAAACAGGCATTGGGGCCCTTCATACACCTGGGGCTACGGGCCTGGGCACATGTATTTGGATATTATTAGGGGTCACCCAGAAGTGCTTTGAAGATGTAAGTTATTGACATGTTCTGCCCTCCGTCTCAATAAATGACTCTGGGTAGCTACAGAAATCCAAATTTTTTTTTGCTCCTACTGGGTTTGCATGCACAAATGCTTTGCATGTTTTGGAATGGCATGCTTTGCATGTGGCTCTGCTTGCATTCACGCGTGTTTTGCATGTATTGGAGAGGCATATTTGCATGCAGATGCTTTGCATGTATGGGAACGGCATGTTTTGCATGCACGTGAGTTTTGCATGCATTAGGTTGACATCCTGCGCTCGCATGCATGTCGTGTCCCCCTCACCCCCCCAGCCCGGCTTCCCCGCCGCCCACCTGGAGCCGATCCGTCCGTCGCGGCAGGCGGGGGCGGCCTCTTCTGCTCGCTCGTCCTTCACCACCATGAAAAGGCCTGCGGGGGGGGGGGACAGCTCGCTTTGACTGGCTCCGCTCGGGCCCGGCGATGCCTCCCCCCGTCCCCGCTAAGAAGAGCCATAATAGTAATAAGACAACAACCCCCCCCCCCGCTTTCTTAGCCCCCCTCCCCGCTGTCCCCATCTAGTCGCGGGCAGTCCCACCGGCCCCCGGCCCCGGGAGAGGCCCCGCCCCAAGGGAGTCCCCCCCAGCCCCCGCGGTTGGAGGGGAGCCGGAGAGAAGCCCACCCCCCTCCTACTTTATTCCGGCTCCATCACTAGGGCTTCTGTTCCCCTAGCAACCGCTGCGACTCGACTGCGCAGGCGCGAGCGCGGCGGCACAGTGACGGCCGGCGGGAAGGGAAGGACGAGCGAGCGAGCGAGCGAGAAGCGGATGCTTCTGACGTCACGTCCGGTGACGGAGCCGCCCGGCCAATCGGAGCGCAGGAGGCGCCGGGCGCTGTTTCCGGCGCGATGGCGGCCAAGGCCTTCAAAGTGCGGACGGGGCCCGGAGGGCGCAAATACGGGCTGGCGGCCAGGAGCCTCCCGGAGCTGCTGCGCAAGGCCTGCCGGCTGGAGGTGGGCGGGCGGGCAGGCGAGGCGGGCCGGGAGGAGGAAGAAGAAGGGGTGGCCGCCGCCGGATCTCTGCCTGGGCACCGCTTCCCTTGACGGGCTTTTCCGCTTCCCCACAGCCTCCCTCGGTGGCGGGCTGCCGGCTCGGCCGCTACGAGGATGGCGTCGAAGTCAGCGAGGAGGCTTTCCGCGCCCTGCCCGAGGACGCCGAGCTGATCCTGCTGCGCCCTGGGGAGGAGTGGAGCGGATGTGAGTGGGGGGGGACACACAAACACACACACACACAACTCACAACAAGGCCCCTGCCTCCTCTTCCACCCAGTCCCAAGTAGGGTTGGTTTCTAGCGCTGCTAGAAATTTAGAAAAAAAAACCCCTTCCCTTGATGAGGACTAGTGCCTTGACTGTCTCCGCGAATGCCACCCTGAGGAGTAGCAACTTGACGTACAAGGAAATGTGCAAACCTCAAAGATTCTTTTACATATACGTATACGTGTGTGCGTGTGTATAATATATATTATGTACAATATATATATATACAATATATATGTATACACACACACAGATGCATATAAATACAGACACACACACACATTGTCCTTACCATCTGCCAGAAGGAATAATTGTTGCTTTTCCCCGCTCCTTTCCTCCCTGCAGACGTCGGCGAGATCGAGCGCTTCCTGAGCACTTTTTCCAGCTGCTCCTCCGGCGTCGTCCGCGCAGCTCAGGGGCTCCTGTCGGGCGAGGAGGCTCCTAAGCGGTGCAGGTTGCTGGCTGACCTGATTCAAAACCTCAACGAAAACATTTCTGCAGAAAGCAGGAAGGAAGACGAGACGTGGTTTGAAGGTCAGTTCTGAGCTGACGTTTTCTGACTCTGCCTGGTCTATGGGTGAACAAATGCTCAGGATGTCAAAAGAGTTTTGGGAAGCACAGCCTTAAGGACTAGAAACTTGACAATCCCACTCAGCTTTGCAATGTTTCCTACTACTGAGGCTCCAAGAGCCTTTTTGGGGAAAGCAGGGGACTGATGGAATTCGTTTCCCACCATTCCTAGGGGTTGAATCTCGGTTTAAGACCAAGTCCAGTTACATGCGCCATAGTTGTGAGAGCAGAATCCGTGGATACATGAAAGAGGTAAACATGGCTTGCAAAACTCCCTATCCGGTCTTTCTTTTGACCTTAGATTCTTGGAGGCAAAGTCTGCCTTCACAATACCTAACAAACCGTGGTTTATGCTTTCACCATTCGCACCCAGGGTTTGAATTAGCACCTCGGTTTGCAAAAATCACTGTGAAGTTTGCTTTTGGGAGCAGACTGGCAAGGACGCTCAACATCTTAAACATCTTTAAAGCTTGTGTTTCTCCTGCCAAAGGTTGGGGCTTACATTTCCGCTGTCCCTCCCGCCCTCCAAAGGAAATTCAGCGGGATCGCTGAAGCCATGCTGGAGAAGCTGAAGTTGGAAAAATATAATGGCTTTTATTTCGACCGGAAGGAAGAGACCAAGTGCCGTCTCTGCACACCGGAAGGCTGGTTCCCTTGCCAAGTAAGTTGCAGGAAAATCGAAGCCAGTGGACGAAGCAAAGGCATTAAGCGTTTCTACTTCCCTTTCCGAGTGGCATTGACTGGTTCACCCTTCCCGAAGTTGAACCTTGAGTCAGGCATCGCAGGAAGTATGGGGGAGTGGGAGGGTCTTTCAGGCTGGTGCCCACCAGCACGTGGCTGGCTTTACAGAGAGGCAAACTACCCCCAGAGATCAGGGTGATCCCTGATCTCCCTTCCTTCCGCCGCGCCCTTAAGACATGGTTATTCCAGCTTGCGGGACTGGCCTAGGGGAAAACTTTTAGAGGGGGTTTTAATTATAATTTTAATTAGACCAATTATGAATATTTCCCTTTTAATTAACTTTTAAATTTGTAGTTTGATATTCTTTGTATTTTTTGTATTTTTTATCCGGTTGTTAGCCGCCCTGAGTCCGCAAGGAGAAGGGTGGGATATAAATTTAAAAAATAAAATAAATAAATAAATAAAATAAAATAAACTACCCCACATATAGTGACGGTGCCAAAATAAAACCTACAGTTTTCGGCTTAACAACAACTCATTCAAATAGTCTTAAGTCCCTTTTTTCAGTGCCGGTGACACAGTCACTAAACAAATTGTTGTAAGTTGAGGACTGCCTGTATTCAGCTTTGTGTGCCCTTTGGCTGCAGGGCCCCTTTGACACCGAAGACTGCTCCCGGAGACACTCCATCAACCCTTACGGGAACAAAGAAAGCCGAATCCTGTTCAGCACCTGGAACCTCGACCACATGTGAGTCTGGAACGCAATTCCCCCCCCTTTTTTTTTGTGGCCACGGACCCCCTCACACAGCACCGATTTGGCGCTAGTCCTCAAGATGTTATAAATACCCCTGGGTTAACATCAAGGGAGTGAAATTACTTAATCTTCTTTTCTGTTTCAGAATTGAGAAGAAACGGGTGATCCTTCCCACCTTAGCGGAGGCCGTGAAAGGCTGCGACGGGAAGGAAGTTGACTGGGAATATTTTTACCGGCTCTTGTTCACCACGGATAATTTGAAACTGGTGCACATTGTGTGCCACAAGAAAACGGTCCACAACCTCGGCTGCGACCGAAGAAAAATCTACCGTAAACGAAAGACCGGCTGGAAGAACAGGCTTCCTTGCAGCCACACCCCAAGCACCCGGGTTCAAATGTCAAAAACGAAACGAAAAACTGACACCAAACTTTCCAAAAATAGGACAATGAAAAAAAACACCCTATAGCCAGCAAGGGGTCTGCTTAACGGCTGTGCCGTTTGCTTAATGACTGCTGTAAAAGAGGTTGTAAAGTCAGGTGGACTCACAAGATGACCTGCTTTATGACCGTCACTGTGAACAAAATTGCAGGGAATTATCTGTCTAGAAATTTTGCGTGGCCAGGGAGCCACTTTTGTTATTTAAATGATTGTTTTTACTCCATTTTTTAAAAGATTGAAACTAAAAAAATAAGATTTTTTAAAAATTAAATAAAAAAATGATGATGAATATTGTGGTTTGTCTTTTTCTTACCTTTTCTTACCTTCTATTCATTAAAGGCCACAATCTGGTAGCCACGTTTGCTAAATGGAAGGTCCTAAATTGAGGACTGCTGCTTATACTTCTCTAACCGGTCTACCAATTTGCTGTTTGGGGAAGTGTGTCCACCCTGCAGGTTTGTTGTAGACTTCTCTTTCTAAGCCCCAACACCCCCTTTTTGCAAAACAGCCTGTGTTTGCCTTGGCAGAGGTTTTTGTGTTGAAAGAGCAAAAATCAATAAAAATGCTATTAGCAAGGATTTGTTTTGCCTTCCAAAACTCCTCGTAGAAATTGCTCCATCCTTTTACAAGCAAAGGGGGGGTGGAATCCTTTTTTTTTAACCCCAAGGAATGAAGTCATTCTCTCCCTTGTGAAACGTTTATAATTGAGAGATGCTTTTAAAAAGCTGGAAGGGACAAAATAATAATAATAATAAAAAAAAACCCCGAAGGGAACGAAGAAATGCAAACTTGGCTGATCATCAAACATCGGCCTGGCCTTGGTTCAATCAAGAGTTGAAAACGAGGCTCTTATTTCACCGAGAATATAAAATCAGAACATGGAAAGTAGAATGACAGGGCTGGAAGGGACCTTGGAGGCCTTCTACTCCAACCCCTGCTCAAGCAGGAGACCTTATCCCATTCTGGATAAATGGAGGTCCAGGCTCTTCCGGGTTGCTGAAAGCAGAAAACTTCGAATTTGAGTGTTTTGAAATTAGGGATTGCCAAGAACCACGATGGGAAGCAGGAAGATGGTCAAGTATTTTTTACCAGCAGATGGCAACCATAGCCCAGAAATGAAAGGGCTGGCTTTTTTTTTTTCTTCTTCCCCTTTCCAGGTCCTTTTTCCTAGTTTAATCTAGCCTTCATCCCTCCTAGGTCTCTGCCCATCTAGACAAGCCAGCATTACATCTTGGCTAAAGAAAACCACAATGAGAAGCGAAGAATGTCAGAACAGACACAAGGAAGGCTTCCTTCCTTCCTTCCTTCCTTCCTTCCTTCCTTCCTTCCTTCCTCCCCATCTAATCGCTGGGAAGATGCAGAACTGTTTTTTAGGGAAGGATTCAAAGCTGGCAAAGGTCCAGGAGGGCCAAGATTCAGCCCTGGACTCCGGGACTATTTGGCCTTCTGAAAAGGCTGCTGGGCGTGGAGGGAAGTTGCTGCTCCACTAAAACTGAAGAAAGAGTGGAGCTGCTGTGCTTTGGCCGTGACGCCAGCCGAAGGAAAGCAGAGTTTGTGTGTGTTTTTGCATGGGCAGCCTCTGATTTGGAGATGATGCTGGTTTTATGGGTTGCCTCAAATAAACTCAGCCCCAGTCTTGGGGGGGGAGAGAAGCTGCTCCAGGGAAAGCAGAACAAAACCCAACATGACAGGCTTAAAATGACTCAGCACACACAGACACACACACACACACACACACACACTTTCAACTGTAGTTCTACTGTATTTCTCCCCCAGACAGTTGCCCCACTTCTCTGAAAGTCTTGCTTCTTTCCTTTCTTTCCTTTTTAATTTTTTCCTCTTTTCTTTCTTCCTTCCTTCCTTCCTTCCTTCCTTCCTTCCTTCCTTCCTTCCTTCCTTCCTTCCTTCCTTCCTTCCCCTTTTCCTCTTCCTCCCTGTTCTCCCTTCCTCTCTCAAAATAGCCAAAGCTCCTCAATTTCCCTAACCTAATGCCAAGCCCCCCTCTTCTATATTGGGGAGATGTCATGACACTCATTGTGGGGGAGCCCTCTCGCCCTCTCTCAGACCAATATAGCCTTTCGGCCACCCCTTCCCTGCAGGAGAAGCCTCTCCTAGGAGCCATTAAAAGGGACATTCCCCCTTCGGCCATTGGACAATTAAAAAGAGACACACAGGGGGGGGCGAGGTCTCCAGAAGGACTCTGGTGGGATAAAACCCAAATTTTTGGACCCTGCTGCAAAGGGAAATGCTAATTTTTAAGGCTCTCCTTCATACCTTGGCAGGTGTCCCCTCCTTTTGCAGAGTGCCAATTTAGGGGGTGCCCCGCTTGCAGAAAAGAGCAAACCCCTTGCATTATTGACCGGCAATTTCTTTGGGGAGTGGGATGCACATGTTGTGCAAACAGCGCCTGGTCTGGCAGTGGGCAAGGCGCCTGTTTTACAGTCGCCTCATGAAAAATGGAGAGGCTGGGCTGGTTTTGGCGAGTGAAAATGACTTAACCCTGTGTAAAAGCGATGAATATTTGATGCTGGAGTTTATTAAATTTCTACAAGCATCAAGCTGAACACAATGCCCTGTACAGATTTTCCTAAGCTGGAGTGAAGCGAGGATAGAATCAGGGTTTACAGATTGTCTTTGACTCACAACCAAACTGGGACCCAAAATTCCTTTCACTAAGTGAGGCATTTGTTAAGGGACTTTGTTAAATTACTTAGGACCGTTTTTTTTAGCCTTAAGACAATCCCAGCATCTACATGGTCACATAATCAGAATTCAGACACTTGGCAACCTATTTATGAGAGTCGCAGTGTCCCGGGGTCATGTGAATGCTGTTGTAACTTTGAACTATCGCTAAAGTAATTGTTGTAAGTCGAGAACTTCTTGTAATAACCTGGGATTAGAGAGACAAGCTTTTAATCACTTTGGGAAATTTCAAAGACTTAGTTTTTCCCCGTTTGGTGGGTATGGAGGGGGGGGGGAGAGCATGGCAAGTTATACCCACCATTCGCCCTAATTTTCCTGCAAAACAACCTGCCGAAGCCAATTTGGAGAACGGCTCCAGTATAAAAATCACATTTGGCCAGTCCAGATGGCTGAGGTTATAAATTTTATTCTGTTTTTATATTTCCACCCCCCCCCCCTAGGTTATATACCATCCCGTCCTCTTGGCTATTTCAAATAATGGCTTCCTTCATCTTACTTCTCATAATATATAACGCCTCGTGCTGCTGCAATGGGATTGCCAGGCTCATTTGTCACGCAGGCCTCGCTGTGTGTATGTGTGTGTTTTGTGCCTCTTGTTTTTCTGCAGAGCCATCCAGCTGCATTCAAACCTCTCTCTAATTACAAGCATAAAACCTCACATTTGCAGCTCGGGTCCCAGGTTTTCCTTCCGACACGCAGGTATTTTCACGGCAAACAGCGGATTAAGGCAGGTGATGACTTGGGAAGGAAGGGTGCAGGGCCCCTGGGGCCCCCCGTTAATTTAAAACAAATTGTCACTTGCGCAAAGGAGTGGGTTTACGCCTCCGTGTCCGGGGCAGTGGGGGGAAACCGGTGGCAGGCCTCTCTTCCAGTTAAAATGGATGTGATCGATCTCCGGTGTCGCTGGAGATGGTTGAAATCTAATAAACAGCTGTGTTTTCTTTTCCTGAAATTATTTTTGGGGGGAAAAAATGAAGAAAAGGCTTGATGGCTTATTTTTCCACAGATGCAAGGTGGGGAGGTTTTAGAGATTGCTTGCCTTCCAGACCAGGAGATAGCCAGCCATTTGTATCCTCAAGGTGTCTAAAAGGAGATGGATCCATTTTTTAAAATAAATTATACTTTCCTAATAAGTGGCACATTTTCCTCCTCCTCCTCCCTGCAAACCCCATTCCCTTCCAACACTGATCACATTCCCTAATTTGGTAATAAAACGCCTCCCAGGAAAAAGCCAAATCCAGAGAGCCCCAAGGACTCCGTAGTCCATCTCCTTCTCCGCCTTCTCCTGCAGCGAGGATGCTGCAGGATTTTGATTAAGCTGCCTTGCAAAGAGAAGAGACTCATTTTTGAGAGCCGGTGTGCCAAAGGGACCTTAAATATCGCAATGACCTTCTTACTTCGAAGGAGGCCTCCAGATGGGGGACTGTAAGAACGCCTTCTCCAAAAGTCTGTTTTTTTCCCCCCGAAGTGCATCTCTGGCCCAAAATGTCCAGAAACAGCCACCGAGAACCTATTTAAAAATGTATTTTAAAAAATGCTTTCCCAAAATAGACGCCGGTGCAAACAGGATGAATAAGGGAATCCTTGCCAGTAATCGTTTCAGCAAGAGGTCACTAATGGATTTCAACCAAGATTCGGTTGGACAAACTGTTTCAGCTAAAAAGCTTTCCGTTCGAGGCTTCAGGTCACAAAAACGCTACTCTGGGTACTTGTTTTTCCTGTCCTTAAAAACAGGTCCAGGGCTTTTAATTCTCCATTTAATTCTGATTTTCTTTTGAGGCTTTGTCTCCGCGGTGAACTTTGTATAGAAATTTTTGGGTTGGCTTCTGATCTGATTGACTTGGATTTTAAATCCTGGGCAGTTTATGGACACAACCGAGTGGTTTTCTGCAACAGTAGAGCTGGGATCTCCTTATCCTAGATTCGCAAGGGAGAATTTGCTCAGGGCAAGTTTTGTTCCTCTGGGGATGCCCCAGATCCATTTCACTCCAGATTTTTGATTTTGTAAGGAGCCACACAGTCCAGGATTCTGTGTGAAGGTTGCTTGTTGGGTTTTAAGGGCAACTGGGCCATTTCTTTCTCCAGAAATCTGCTCTTGTTGGAAAGTTGTCACTTCCTATTATGTCGACTCCCTTCCCAGCTCCGCTTGCTTCCTCTCTCTCTCTCCCTGGAACAATTTGCCAGATCCTAAATAAACTCATCAATTCCATGATCCCCGATAAATCTTCATTACCACACACTTCAGCGGCTGCTCCGAATGTTTCTCCTCTGCCTTGATCAGTCCCCAATTGACTGTTTATTTGTGCTCGGATTGAGGAGTTAATATTTTACATCTAGTAAACCATGCACCCTAGATTTTATTATGGACCGAAAGTGGGGGGGGGAATCCCACCAGGAATTACAGATAGTGCTCCATTTACAACAGTTCGTTTAGTGACCGAAGTTACGACAGCCCTGAAAATAACGATGGGTGACCATTTTTCACGCTTAGGACCATGG